GGGGGCTCACAGAAAACACGCCACTATAGAGAACCTGACTAGTGTGACACGCGACACATTGTGTGATCTGTCTCCGAAATCCGATCTCTGGAGAGAAAGTTGAGAAGACGAGCCGGCTGTTTGGTTAATAAACGGAGAGTGGGTTACCCGTACTGCTAAATGCGGCTGGGGATGGGCGTTTCTAAGGCCGCAAGAGCTTCCATCTCCCAAAACTCTGACCTTGAGCGTCTGGCACCACCTTGGGTTACTCATCATCATCATCATCATCATCATCCGGTACCTTGCCGACTGGCGTGGGTGATCATAGACCTCCACTTCACTCTGTCTTCCGTTGCAGCAATGGTGTCTGTTGTTCTTGCTGCTCCCAGCCATGTTGTCATCTTGTCCAGTATCTTTTTCCTCTGTCTACCTCTGCCTCTCTTTCCCTCAATAGTTATGGAGAAGTTGATTAAAATATCTTTTGTCATAAAAAATATCGATATAATGTAATTAGATAACAACGTAAATTTTCAAGAGCCAGAACTTCCTTAATTTCAATTGTACAGCCATAAAACTAAGATGCAGGTAGTCTTTCGTTGCCAAATATGACGATGAAATCTTGCAGCTCATCTGTGGATACGCTTGTCGCTGTGCAATCCGATCTTAGATGTACAATGTCTGTTGCAGTGGGGACACTGGAATGTCGTAATTGGGGTGGTTGGATTATGTCTCTTCTCTCTTCTGATAGTCATCTTCTCCCTGTAGTTGATATCGCTGTTTCTTCTAGCAAGATGGATGACCCTCCGCCAGGTGTTTCTTTCGGTGGCGGTTTCTTTCGAGTTCTCTTTGGGGTAACCTGTGCAAATTGGAGGTTTGCCTTTATCGTGTCTTTGAAATGTTTTTTGTTTTTTGTTTTTGGTGGCCTCCCGAGAGTATTTTTGCCACTTGCAAGTTCGCCTTACAGCTGTAAGATGTTTGGGCATTCGGTGGTCTTCTATGCGGATGACATGGTCAACCCATCTTCTCAGTTGGACTTTGACAAGAATGTTTACTATGCTTTGTGAGCTTAATCGGTTGAGGACCTCAATGTTGGTGATGCAGTCTTGCCATCGGATGCCAAGTGTGCTGCGGAAAGCCCTTTGGTGGAACTGCTCTAATTTATTGATGTGCTTCCTGTAGAGTGTCCAGGTCTCCGAACCGTAGAGGAGGGAAGAGAGCACAACGGCTTTGTACACTTTGATTTTTGTTGACAGCCGGACATTGTGCTGTTTTAGTAACTTGTTTTTCAGTCTACAGAGAGCTTGGCTGGCGTTGCAGATTCATGAATCAATTTCCTGATCGATGGAGCCGTCTGCAGAGATGATAATTTCAAGGTATTTAAAGTACATTGTGTTCTTCAGGCTGTTGCCATTGACAGAGATGTTTCGAGACAGAAAGTTAGTTTGTCGGGCAGGCCGGTGAAGAATTTCAGTTTTCCTTATGCTTATTGTAAGTCCAAAAACCTTTGAGGCTTCTGAGAAGTGGTTGAGCATTGTTTGCAGGTCCGCTTAAGCGAGAGCATTCAAGGACCAGTCATCGGCGAAGAGCGCTGGTATTGCCTTGGCTAGCAGACGACGTAGATAAAAAAGAGAGCCGTCCAGTCAATAATTTAGGTACAGTATATTCCCTTGTCAAGATCCTTGAAGGCGTGGGAAAGTATCGATGCCCCCATGATCAGACCTCGTAAGTGCCAGAGAGATAATTTTTCAGAAGCAAAAAACTGATTTATTTTAAAACAGCGTTGTCGAACCTCTTCAATTTCGCATAAACCACTCAAAACAATGTTGCTAAATGAGGGTTAGTTACTTAAAAGGAGTTTCTGCGTCTGCTGGGACGCTGTGTCCTAGCCTGTCGCTACCTCAGAATTACAAAGTTCTATCTGCTCAGTATCTCGTTTTGAGAAATTTGCAGTCAAAGATTTTGCGTTCCCTTCGTGTCAAGCTTTTTGAATGCAATTCTTTCAATATCTTGGCAACGATTCCGAATTATCTGAAGGTTTTGAGAGAGCAGAGAACATTTGATTTCTGGCCTCATCTTCTCAGTAACTCAAAACGACCAAAAATGTCAGATAGAACTTTTTAAATCTGAGGTAGCGCAGTGTTGGCTCCTCCAGATGGGGTTCAAGCATTCCGTCTCTTGAACGATCTACATTGTGT